TCTCTCTCTCATATATATATATATAGAGAGAGAGAGAGAGAGAGAGAGAGAGAGAGAGATTTTTTTGCTTAAAACAAAGAGAAAGCCTTAGCAATTATAATGGGAACAGAATGAAAACGTATTAAAAAGAGTACATAGGCGTATGGATCTTAGGATTTTCATAATCAGTGAGAATCAAAGTTTTGTACTGAGCCTTTTCTAAGCTAAGATAAAATTTTCATCTAATAATAGGAGAAAAACCCATAGATAGTTTAGTAATAAGCAGTCAGAGTTCATTTGGAGCTTATTTCACAAATGAGTGACCATGTCCTGTGGACTCAATTGGAGCAGGATTTGTTGACATTTGTATTTGGATCCTGACACCATACATAGAATCCAGCAGATTTCCTCCATAACCCAGAAGAAACTTCCATGTTATGGGAAAGCCCTCAACACTGTATTCCTAAAACCTTTAATTCCTCAGTTGTTGATATTTGACAGAAAAAAGTATTGTCCAATAGGAATAAAGCAAAATTAAAGAGATTTTAATACTGAATAAATAATGCAGTTTTATAATAATCTCTCAAACAGGTGATTAGTGAATCTGTTGAGGCAAAAAACATGCAAAATTATTCTTTGGAGGATAGACTGAGAAACCCTGCACTAGAGATTATTTAGCTCATCAATTCAATAAAAATACTTAAATCTTTTACTACTATGCTTTAGGAATTGGGACTACTGAGATCAAAGATATATCCCCTGCCCTCAAGATGCTTTTGATTCAGGTGGGAGCCGTCGCATAACTCAAAGTACCATAATGAATCTGTGACAGAAGGAAAGATCCTTGGAATCAGTGAAAGTCTGAGGCGAGTTTTGACCTGAGTTCATGTAGCAACTCTAGGCAGAGGTAGTGCATTTCAGGAACCGCACATGTGGAAGCATAATGAGGAGGAAGAGACTGCTGTGCATTTATTCCTTATACAGTGGACCTGCAAGTTATGGCTGGCCTGACATATGAACAACTTGGGTTAATGAGGTTAATGGAAGATTTATCTGCCTCTTGTTATCTATAGCATGTACCGAGGTAAACATCCACATCTCAGCTGTAATGACATAGTTACAACCAGCCCTCAGGACTAATCCAGTTTATAAGTCAAGGGTCTACTGTAATAGGTTAGAGCAATGGGAGCTTTTTCCAGATTTTCAGTTCCGTTAAGAAATAGACAATTGTATGGATAATAACTTTTTTCATTCACAGGATGACCTCACACCACATTCACTTGCTGTAAAGGAAAACAAGCAGCAAGTGGCAGAACTGCTTATAAAGGAGAAAGAAAATATTCATGCTCTGGATGAGCCAGGAAGGTATAGTTGTTCTTTTATAAAGATAAGACTTTAGTGGTGTTCTAGAGTAGTAAAACGTCCAATAGTTTACAGTCAAATACATCAATAGGGAAAAGGCTGAGTTACAATTGTTGGGATAAAATGAAAGATATCAACACATACCATCAGAAAGCAATTATTTGGATTGGACAGCACAAAGAACATTATAGTAGGATTCAAGGTCTGTTATGCAGTAATATGGAGTGATGTTTGCTATTTTTTATGAAAAAATAAAGTTTTATTACAAAGTAATAAAAAATAGTCAATATGCTGTGTATCATTATCTTCAAAGTACTTCCTCAGAATACAAGACATAAACCAAAAAGATTCTTACAAGAAAGAGCTTTTTTACCAGTGATCTAAGATAAACTAGTTATATAAATGAAACAAATTAGTATCTATAGTAAAGTATTTTTGAAACAATGAAACAGATAATTTGGGGAAGTATTTGAGCTCCCTACTTTCTATATTGTATGTTTATATGCACATATATATGTATGTAAGTCATCATATAAGAGAATTTTTGAGCTTGTGTGTTAGACTTATTTCACCAAACATGATATTCTCAAATTACATCCATTCATCTATGAATGCCTCAAGTTTGTCTTTATGGCAGTGTAGTCCTTCATTGTATATAAATACCATTTTTCTGTAGACATATACACTGTTTCTAAGTTGTAGCTATTATACATTGGATATGCATGTATCCCTGTACTATGATTTTAAGTCTGGGATGATATCTAGAAGGAACATAGCTGGAACAAATGGAATTGCTAATTTTAGTGTTTTAAGGGATCTCCATATTGATTTCCCTAGTGGTTGTACTAGTTGATATTCCCACCAACAATGTAGAAAAGTTCCTCTCCTTCCCCTATTCTCATCACCATTTATAATTAGAGTTTTAATGACAATCATTATTTTTGAGGTAAAATAGTATTTGCAATGTGGTTTTAATTTGCATTTGTCTGATGACCAGCAATTGTGTGCATCTTTTCATGTATGTATTGGCCATTTGTCCTTCTGAGAAGTATCTTTTCATTTTGGTTACCCATTTTTCATCTGTGTCTTTTATTTGAGGAGGTCTAATATTTTTGAGTTCTTTCTATATTCTTCTTTTTGGGGGGAGTTTGGTTTTTTGAGACAGGGTCTCACTGTATATTTAAGACTGACCTGGAACTCACTGTATAGCTCAGACTGGTCTCAAACTCACAGGGATCCTCCTGCCACAGCCTCCTCAGTGCTGGGATTACAGGCGTGTGCCACCACACCGGGCTTCTTTATATATTCTTGATGTTAGTTTTCTGCCTGTGAAATACCAGGTAAAAACTGTTTCCCATTCTGAAGGTTGTCTCTTCACTCTTCACTGGTTGTTTCCTTTGCAGTACAGAAGCTTTTAAATTTTATATGATCGCATTTGTTGTTTCTGTATATTATTTATTATGTTATTTGGGTTCTATTCAGAAAGTTCTTGCCTTTGTCTATGTCCACAAGAAGTGTACCTATTTCATCTTCTAGCAGATTGTTTCTGTTTTAACATTTTGATAGTTGGCCCATTTTGATTTTAGTTTAGTACATGTTGAGATATACAGATGTAGACTCAATCTTCTGCATGTCAGTATCAAGTTTTCTCAGCACTGTTTATTAAAGGGTCTATCTTTCCTCCATTGTATATTTTTGGCTTCTTTGTGAAAGATCACACAGCTCTGTGTGCCGGGGTTGTTTCTGTTTCTTCTATCCTGTGTCACTGATGCACATGCCTGTTTTTGTGTCATTACCCTGTGGTTTTAATGACTATAGCTTTATAGTGTAACTTCAAGTCTGGGATATGATGTCACCTGCTTTGCTTTTGCTATCCAAGATTGATTTTGCTACTCTGGGTCTCCTCTGAGTCCATATAGGATTGTTTCTCTAGCTCTGTGAGAAATAACATGGGCATTTTGCTTGGGATTGTACTAAATCTTTATATCAGTCTTGGAAGTAAGGCCATTTTGACAGTATTGGTTATGCCCATCCAGAAACAAGGGATATCTCTCCACTTTCTGATGTCTTGAAATTCTTTTTTTCAGAGTGATGTAATTTTCATTGTAGAGGTCTGCCTCCTTAGCTTAAGAATTTAAATTTTTTTTTTGATGTTGTGAGTGGTATTATTTTCCTAATTGCATTTCAGTGCATTCATTATTAGTATACAGGAATGATACTGACTTTTGTGTATTTATTTTTGTATACTGCTATACTGCTAAATTTGGTCATCAATTCTAGGAGTCTTTTGGTAGAGGTTTTGGGGTCTTTTCCATAATCATTTCACCTGCAAATAATAATTTTTTGAGGTTGTCTCTCTTCTACATACCCCCCTTTTTTTTTCTTGTCTGATCACTCTGACTAATATTTCAAGGACTGTGTTGATCTAGAGTGATAGTAATGAACCTCCTTGTTTTGTTCCAGATTTTAGAAGGCTTTCAGTTTTCCCCCATTTAATATGATGTTGGCAGTAGGTTATTGATAAATTGCTTATATCATGTTGAGATAAAGATCTTCTTAACCTATTTTCTTCAGGGTTTTGTCATGAATGGTTGTTGTCAGACTTTTTCTGCATGTCTTGAGATGATCATGTGATTTTTGTCCTGCTTCTGTTTATATGCTGAATTGCATTTATTGGTTTTTATATATTGAACCATCCTTGAATCCATGGGATGAAACCTACTTGTTCATGGTATATAATCTTTTTGATGATTTGTTGCACTCAGTCTGCCAGTATCTAGATAAGGATTATTACATCTATGTTCCTTAGCCTGCCTTTCCCTTTCTTGGTTGGATCCTTGTCTCATTTGGGGATCAGGATAATGTTAGCTTCCAAAAATGATTTTCAAAGTACTCTTTTTTTTTTTTTTT